GCGATGGCTGGTTGTTCACGAACTGGTTGTACCTACCGTTTCGTAAATATTATGATGTAGCATTAAATTATAATCATTAAAAAAAATATGATGTATATGGTTTTTTTTTTTTATTTATTTATTTAATATTTATAGAGTAACAAACTTTATTTTTACAAAATAAAAAGTGAACTAAGTCATGTTAAAAAGTTATCAACAACAAAAGATATAATAGAATATGAAAAAATTGCTTATCACCACTGTGCAACGTGCGGGTACTAATCTAGTTAATTTACTATTAGAATTGCTGTAAATGCCTAAATAGTGATACTTCTTTAGTATAATAATATAGTGGGTCGTATGATAGAGATATATTACATCAAACATATACTTGTATTATTGTATATAAATCATAGATTGATTATGTTTATATATGTGCGCCAATTATATATATAGGTGATTGTTTACTTTTTACGTCCTTGTACAAACTTTTCTATCAAAGAGATCGGATGAATTTTTTTTTGTCAATGACAAGTTTCACAAACACGAGATAACGTATTAATGTTGTTACTTGTTACTTTATGACATTTTTCAACAAATGGCAAACCCCTAACTGAGTAAGGCCTTGTTTGGTTCACCTTATTTTTACTGATCTGACCTGGTCTGGTATGATCTGATCTGATCTGGTCTGGTCTGGTCTGGTCTGGTCTGATATGATTGTCTGATTTGACTAAACTTTGACCTTAAGTGTACGATAATCTATAAAATATATCAAGTGGGATCTTGTTAGATTCGTAATAATGTGTAGTTTATTAATATGTAATTTTCACAATTTTTTTCATTACGAAATTAAGAATATTTAGCGATAAAAAACCGCACATAAAACGATGTTCTGATCTGAACTTATTTTTTCTGATCTGATCTGAACTTATTTTTTCTGAAATAAGTAAAAATAAGTTGAACTAAACAAGGCCTAATTGTAAAACTATTTATTCTAGGAATTCGAGCTCTTTGTATCTCTCTCTATTTTGTATTTCCAAATTACAATATACATTTTTGTTTCTCGGTGTTCAGAGAACCATAAAGGGTAAGTGATGAGAATCGATCTCAGGAACTAAGAGGAAGATTTAACTACTTGAGTTATCCTTCACTAGTGTACTACTTTGTATATTATTGGTGGGCTGTTTTACACCTTTATATATAATACCTACTCCATATGTCAATTTGAAGTTTTAATTTTTAAACATGTGCATAAATGATATGAAGAGATTATTAGAATTATTATAATTAAGCACGTTTTAAACCATCCACTACATAATTCTACTTCTACACTAAACTGAGAAACCAATAAAAAAAAACACGTTGTAATTGACTAATTGATGAGCATGTTTAAAATCATGTCAATTATATTGGGATTTTTCTTAATCTATGGCAATCATCAAATCCTCTTTAGTTTGCATTTTTATCAATGGGCTCATCCCTTTTTGGAATTGTTAATTATAGTCAAAATCATATATACTTTTATGATATCATGATAAAGTATAAGTATTGTGCTAATAAGCACAAATCCGCATAATAAAAGAGAGTTTGACAACACACAGTCAGTTTCATCATAAAACCATTAGTAACAAGTTACAGTAGTTTGTTAAATACGGGGTTGGGCTACACCCATAAAACAAGAGAGAGAGTCCACTTCACAAACCCAAAGGAGGTTTCATCCGAAAACCATATGGCAATTGGAGGAGTAGTCCCTTAGCCTTATAAATTGATTAACTCTCTCTTCTTCAACCAATGTGGGACACTTACATGTGGTGATACTTGGGAGGTCTACTCTTCAACACTCCCCCTCACATGTAATGTCCCTTTTTAACTTTGTCTCATGTGATTTTTCGGGTAGAGTGCTTCTTCACTCCCCCTCACATGGACATACTCTTGGCCCAGTGAACTTTAGCCATTTAGGGTCTCATATCGTGGTCTGGCTTTGATGCCATGTTAAATGCTCCTTACATAAGAGGCCTTGGGCTTGAAATGTGGATCCAGTATGGGTCTTCTACATACCCTGCGCGAAATATTCCACTTGAAATGAGGAGTGGATGAGATTTGAACCCGTTACTTTTACGTCACGCTAGCTCTTGAATTACCATGTCATAAGTTTATTAATATGGTATTAGAGCCAACGTGACATAGAGATCACGAGTTTGAATCTAAACCACCCCCACTTTCAAGTGGAATATTAAGCGCTGGGTATAAGGAGGACCCATGCTGCATCTACACTTTAAGCCCCATGGACTCTCATGTGAGGGGGCGTGATAGAGTATAAAACATATTTTTGAGCCTCAACTATCAGCTTAAACTTTTGGTTAAGTTGGTCTATTTACATAATTAAATTACTTTGTAAACCTATGAGTTACTCAATTCTTTATTATTCTTGGATAATAATCTCAATTCATATATGGGTAATACCTTAATCAATGTAGAAAAATTCTAAATTTAACCCTTGAGATGGGTAGTTGCTTTACAATAAAGCAATAGATTGAAATTAAAATAATAAATAGAAGAGTTAACGCGAAGTGGGTAGATTTTTGAATTATTTTCACTATTGGATTGGAGGCATGATATAATATTAAATAATACAAAAGGACCCATTTAATGAAGTAATGAAAGGTGATTGAGACAATTTCTCATGTAATATTAAGAATGAAACAATTTTTAAAAAAATATAATAAGAGATCATACATCTAACGTAACATAATAAAATAAATAAGTGGAAGATCATCAATATGGATCATAGGGATTATTGGTGCAGCATAGGTGTAAAGCTAGAAAACCTAGGATTTTGAAATCTTTCAACTACCACAAAGTTATATAAAATAAATATTATTGGATGAGATCGTTTTACCGTGAACTCACCCGTCCCATTTAAAAAATAATAGAATAAAATTTTCAAAAACTTATATAAAATGTCCAATATTTAAATTTTAAAAGTCAAGACGTTCAAAAACTTATACATAAAATGTCCAATAACTTATATTTGTCTCATCGTGAAAATGAACTCACACAATACTGTCCCCCACACTTATATTAACGTCAAGACCAAAGGAGTAGTTTTACACTATTTAAAAAAAAAAAAAATTACAGACATAGATAGGTGATGTATTGCTAACACGTAGGAGCTAGTATTAATCAGTGTGGCGTAGGGTATTTTTGCCTTTATTAATCCTCCAATCACTCCAACTTTCTACTTACTCCAAAAAATATATTTGAACTGTTTTCTGTCTTGCATCTAAATCACATACCAAAATCCTAAGTATCATAATATTTTAATTAATGAGATACTATAAATGCTTTACTATACATCGTCCTCAACTATTATTTGAATTCCAAACATTCTACAACACTATAAGTAATACTCCGTATCACTAAGAAGAAAAAAACATACATCTTAGACTTATCGACTTCATTATTCATACTAATACTTCATGGATCACAATCTTCCAACTTCATTGGATCCCTTCAATTTCGATCCGATATCACTAGATGATGATCTAATGCAGCTTATCAGTGATGTTTTTCCACAAAACCCACAAAATCATGATGTTTCAGCTGTGTTAAGTACTTCAACTGAGAATCAAGCTCAACATAGTCATGATAATAATCAATTCACTGTTAGTAACTCATTTCACGCTTCAGCTCATCAACTACTACCTCACCATAATGTTGTGGAGTTTAACTTTGCCTCACCTCCAACTCCAATTCCGGCTCCGGCCCCTAGTAAGGAAGAGGCCAGGAAGAAGAAAGCGAAGGCCGTGGAAATCGAGCGGAAGAGGAGGCAAGAAATGTCCTCCCTTATGGTGTTTTTTAATTTTTTTTTTATTTTATTATTTTAAAATATAATTTAATTAATTTTTAAACTAAAAAACCTTAGGTTAACCATTTTAATTATAAAAGTTAGCCATAAAACCAAAAAAAGAACACTACACTTAATTTTGCAAAACTAGAGTGCCACTTGAGAGAGTTGGAAAAAAGTTTGTCTTACACGTAGAAAAATTGAAACCTGGAGGCCACCATGTAAAATTTCCCAAAATATTATAATCTAAAAGTCAGCCTATCTTAAAAAAGCACAAAACTTATAATGAGTAGTAAAAACAAATTTGTATTTTTGTAGGTATTTCAAATCCCTAATAATAAAATTAATTATAAATTGATTAATGTTCTTCGGACTTTTTGTGTAGGTGATTACTTTGTTACAAAAGATTTGGCAAACGGGATGTTCGGGTCGGGTCAATTTCGAATCAGCAAATATTTTGGTCCGGTTCAGGTTAGGTCGATCCAGGTTTTTGGGTCAACACTTCGGGTTAAGTTCGAGTTGGGTCAAGTTTGGATCGTGTCAATTCGGGTCGAGTCAGTACGAGTTGGGTCAATTCAAGTTGGGTCAATTTTTAGGACCAGTTTTTAGGTCAATTTCGGATTGAGTCAATTCGGTTCAGGTCAAGTTTGGGTCGTGTCACCAAAATAAATTCACTTAAAAAAAATAGTTGGAAAAATAAAATAAAATCGTTAAAAAAATAAAAAAAAATTGTGAGTACCTATTACTTAGGAAAGAAAGAAGCCCTAAATTAAGTAATTCACCATTTCACCCTATTCACTTCAATTCAGGAATCGAGTCACTTCGGGTCAGGTCACTTTGGGTCGAGTCACTTCGGGTCCGGTCATTTCGGGCATCGGGTCAACTCCATTTATGGTATTGGGTCTACTTCATTTTGATTCGGGTTCGGGTCATTTTCGGGTAGCAGGTCTGGTCATTGGGTCGGGTTAGGATTGCCAGGTATAATACAATGGTTTAACAATTAAATATTTTCAACGTTTCTTTTTAGTTGACACGAATCTTTAATCACGTTTGCCAATGCATGCACATAGTCATATTTGCCAATGTACAAGTTCGACCATCTATATTTTTAATTACCAATAAGCAAAAATTATAAAAAGTTAATATTTTTAATATATATCATTATGACGAATCTAATAAGATCACACGTGACTATATTTTTCATTACATATAAATCACAAAACATAAAAAAGAAAAAAAAAAGTTGTTAAAAGGTGCTAAAGTCGAAACGTACCAGTAAAACAAAAAGAGGTAGTACATTCTTGTATCAAATTGAGATTATTGCTTGTTATTAGTTGTTGATCGACCCAAAAAGTAAAACCATATTTCCTAACATAATTCGATTGATGCAGCGGAAGAAGAAGCTGGCAACTTCGGATCTCTTGCAAATGACAACAAACCATATAAAGAACATGGAGAAGGGTGTAAAAGGACTAAAGGATAAAAGAGATGAATTACTGAGAATGATGAGATCAGCTGCTGGAAATTCAATCAATAGTAATACTTCGAAACAGCAGCAAAATCATCATGTCACAGTAAAACCTTGTAAAGATGGACTCATAGAAGTTACTGTTAGTAGTGCATTGGATGACGACGATCATGAGAATAACAACCGAGGCTTTCGCCTTTCGAAAATTCTCCGTTTACTAGGTGAAGAAGGGCTAAATGTGATCAACTGCTCTTCAGCAAGAATTGACAGTAATTTGGCTCACACCATACAAGCACAGGTAGTGATAATCCATATGTTACTCCCTCCATCCCATAAGATTGTCCCTGTAAGAAATCTAAGTATATATATTGACGGTTTAAGACATGATTTGGACATTCTAAAAAAAAGTTACTTGCAACTTTTAAGGGACGAAGAGAATGTACAATATCTAGTTAGTATTGGTAGTTGATGTTGTTGATCTGATTGTAAGTAACTTGGATCCTGCAGGTTGATGATGGGAGAAGAATTGATCTATGTCTACTGCGGCAGATATTGACGGATCACTCGTGAATTATGAATTATAAAATCATATTTTCATAGGGAGCACGTATTGTATTGCATTGTACATGTACAGAGCATTTTTCAATTTATTGTAAGAGCATCTTAGACTAGATTTTAAGGACGATAAAGATTTGCCGATTTGCTGTTTTGCAGCAATAAGCAGTATACTGCAAATGTTTGGATGAAAAAGTGTGTACAATATTAATTCCCCAATTACTTAATTAATGTACTTTTTATTTGCTATATTATACTAGACAGAGTGTGCATAACTATCAAATCGTCTTCCTTTTTCAAAAATATAAGAAGTACAAACCTGTCACCAATAATACGAGCATATCAGCGGTTACTAACTCCTTATTATTTGAAGTAATTGTTTCAGAAGTAATTCTATTTAGTTTATTTCATTAAAATACTGTTTAGCTTAGTTTATTTTTCAACTTCATTACAATTTACTCCGTATTTCATTTCAGCTCAAAAGAATGAGCCATAATTTCGTATAGGTGGCCGTTTTGGTATGGTGTAGTTAATAGACAATTATGGTGTAGTAATTAGAAATTAGGTGACCCCAAACGCTCATCAGACCCTGTTTTTTGGACTATTTTCAGTTCATTACTTCATTTCATTATTATTATTATTATCATCATCCCATCACTAGTAATTTTTTTCAATATTAATTTGTAATATAAAAATGAGGCAATTTTTATGAGATAAACCAAATGTAGTTTTTGTATAAAAAATGAAATAAGGGGAATTAAAATTTACTACGTATAAATTATTGTTTTGTATTAAATATGTAAAAGTACTATACATTATTAATTAATGATGTATATATGTTTTTTCCAATAGAATTAATTGTACAATATACTTCCAAAAAAAATAAGCTAAGCCGAATTAAAAAAATAACACAATTTTTTTTTATGCGGCCTGCTGTACCGTGCGACAGGGGTTACTCGAGTTACTTGGTCAGGGGTTACTCGAGTTGCTGGGGTTACTCAAGTTTCTTTGTCAGGGGTTACTCGAGTTACTCAATCAGGGGTTACTCAAATTGCCGAGGTTACTCAAGTTACTCGGTCGGGGGTTACTTGATGAGTTACTCCTGACCGAGTAACCCCTCAAGTAACCCTGACTGAGTAACCCCTCGAGTAATCCATGACCGAACCCCTCGAGTAACCCTTGATGACCGAGTAACCCCTCAAGTAACCCTAACTAAGTAACCCCTCAAGTAACCCCAAAAGTAACCCATGACTGAACCCTCAAGTAACCCTGACCGAGTAACCCCTGACTGTACTCCTTAAGTAACCCCTGACCGAATTACTCGAGTAACCCTTGACCGAACTCCTTAAATAACCCCTAACCGAGTAACTCGAGTAACCCTTGACCGAGTAACTCGAGTAACCCTTGACCGAGTAACTCGAGTAACCCTTGACCGAGTAACTCGAGAAACCCTTGACCGAGTAACTCGAGTAACCCATGACCGAGTAACCCCTAACCGAGTAACTCGAGTAACCTTTGACCGAGTAACTCGAGTAACCCCTCAGGTAACCCTTAACCGAGTGAACGCTTCAAGTAACCCCTCACTAGGCGAAAAATAAAAATGAGCACCGGTTCAAAACCCTCCTTTCGCACCGGTGTAGATTTGTAGGATGCCAAAAAAAAAAAAAAAAAAAAAAAAAACAATTTAGCACCGATTCAAAACCGGTGCTACTTCAAACAATTCACACCGGTTCTTGCTGTGAACCGGTGCGAATAATGGCCCAAAAAAATTAAAAAAAAACTTTTGGCACCAGTTCGGTTTCAAAACCGGTGCCCTTAATATATAAACTTTTTTTTTATTTTTTTTGCATTTTTTTCACTTAAATTGATATAGAAACACTAACATATATACTACCTCCGTTTATTTTTATGTGCAACTTTGAGTGATAATACGGTTCACGAGGCAAAAGATTGAAGAGTAAATATTAGGAGAAGTTAGTGGGTTTAATTAAAAAGCAAGGAGAGAGAAAGTGTGGACCACACTTTTTGTTTGTGGTGGGAAAGTTTGGCAGAAAAAACCAAAGCATAATTTCCCACCCAAAACCCACCGAAAATTTGGGGTGAAATTTTACTTTCCCCCTCCTTTTTTAAAAATTTCATACCAAAGTCAAATTTTCCCAAAAAATTTAGGAGGCTATAAATACAGCCATGCCCCCATTTAATGTCACCATTCATTCAAGCATTTAAGGAGGGAATAAATCATCCTCCATTGTCAGGCATTAATTACAATCAACATTGTTTAAAGGTGGGTGAAACATTCCACCAAAAACACAGTTTCATCCACAAAAGCTTATCAAATCCTAGGTTAGAATAATTACACACTAACTACTCCTTAAAACTTTACAAAAAACAGGGGTGCTCTGTTGTCCTTCATGCACAGGTGGGTGTAGTCTTCATCTTCAACCCACACAACTCAGCAGGGCCCTGACTTCATCCTCCCTGTGCTGGAAAAGAGGAATGGCAGAAATTGATGACTCTGTTTTTTTTGATATTGAACACATTCTCAATGAAGAAGAGCTAGCAGAGCTGTGGTTCGAGGAAGAAGAAGAAATGCAGGATGCAGGAATATGGGAGTACAACTCAGAAGATGAAATGCAGGATGGCAACCAAGAAGAACAGCAACAGCAGCCACAGACAGAAACTAATGTTCTCAACACACAAATGCAACAGCAAGGTCATGAAGGGACTGGTCTTGTATGCAGAAAACAATTAACTTTGCAGCAAAGAAGAAAGATTGTTGATGCAATTTTGCTGAAAATGAGCAATGGGACTTTACCAAGGGGTCACATGAAGCAATTAGCATCTGAATTTAATGTCCACAAATCAACAATCACAAGAATCTTTTCAGACATAAAAAAACAGCTGGCAACAGGGGACTTGATTGATGTCAGGACCAAAAAATTTGGCAAAACAGGGAGAAAGCCAATGGAGATTTCTGATGAAACTCTCCAGTCAGTCCCATTACATTTAAGGCAGACAGAAAGAAGCTATGCAGGAGCATTGAAGATCAGTCTAACTACAGTTCACAATTTGAAGAAAAGAGGCAGGCTAAGAACACACACATGCTGCAACAAACCATTGCTCACATCAGACCACAAGGTTGCCAGACTAAGATGGATTTTGTCACATATAAATCCAATTACAGGGAATGAGGACCCCACATTTGTTGACATGAGGAATGTCATACACTGTGATGAAAAGTGGTTCTACTTGAACCCTGACAAAAGGAGGTTCTACCTACTGCCATGTGAGGAGGATCCCTATATGGCAGTTCAGTCAAGAAGATTCAAACTAAAGGCAATGTTCATGGCAATCATAGGGAAGCCATTATATGGCATAAATGGGGAACTTTTACATGATGGAAAGTATGGCATCTTTCCATTCACTGTCCAGCAAGTAGCACAGAAAGCAAGCAAGAAAAGACCAAGAGGGACCATGGAAACCAAGGCACTCCAGAACATAAACAGAGAAGTAATCAGAGAGATGCTGCTAACAAAGGTTATTCCAGCAATCATATCAAAGTGGCCTGAAGGTCTGCCCAAGGATGTGGTCATCCAATGGGACAATGCAAGGCCACACCAAGTTCCTACAGATGATGAGTTTGTGGCAGCAACAACAGCTAATGGCTTTAACATTCAATTTGTTTTCCAGCCAGCACAGTCTCCTGATTTGAATGTCCTTGACTTAGGGCTATTTAGGTCTATACAATCATTGCAATATCAGTCTTTTCCTAGGGACTTAGAGGAGCTAATTCAAAAGGTCAAACAGTCTTATGACACTTTCAACCCTCATGTAAACAAGTACATCTGGGTTACATTGCAAAAGTGTATGATTAAGATACTCAAGGCAGAAGGTGGTAACAAGTACAAAATACCACATATGAACAAAAAAAAGCTGGAAAACCTAGGTAGTCTTCCAGATTTGGTAGAGGTTCAGAAAGAGGATGTATTGGAGGCTGTGGAGTACCTAAACACCATGTTTAGGCCAGCAAATCAAGGCACTCAAGAAGACACAGAAGATTTGGAGGTGGATGCAGATTAGGGGAGTCTTTACAACAACCAGACAACACATGGACTGCCACACATAACCACTTATCATAGTAAGTTTTATTGGTTTTTTTTTTTCCCAAAAACATTTTGAGCAATCCAGTGGTTAGGTGTATTTTGTTGATTACAATTACCCAAACAAGTCAGGCAGTCTGAAGTATAGTCATTAGATTATCATACATATGGTCTTTTGTAAAGTTTTATGTACTAGTATTTTGTACCCACATTTTTAGTTGATTATGAATGACAAAGATAAACAATTTATGTGGGCACTAAATCCATCAGAGGGTTATAATGTTGAATACTACACATATGCACAAGGGTACCTCAACAACAACAACAACTTTCATGTTGATGGAGCAAATCACCTGTGCATATTGAAATTCATTGGAGTCCCTTCATCATGTGGATATGGGTAAGCTAAATAGCATATCAAAGTAGGGGACTCTTTAATAAACAAGAAACAGAAGGCAACATCATGGGACTCCTTTTAAGGGACTGACTAGGCAACAATGAACATGCACAAGACACCAGCCTCATCATTCATCAATCAAGTCCACACAGCCAGCAATAAAGACAACATGCAACCAGATGTATCAACACACACATGCAACCAGCAATAAATCTCCCAGATGTAACATAACCAACAACCCAACATTACACAGCAAACCCTAGTATCCAGCCTACATCAACACAAACATACAAATAAACCCTAACATTTAACATAATCAACAACCCAACAATAAACAACAACGAGTCAAAGTTACCCATAACAGCAAACCCTTAGCAGCCAGAGTAGATCAACACAACCAACACCCCATCATGAAACCACAACCAGTCAAACAATCCCGCAATAAACAGTGAAACCCTAGTTTCAGCCATAGATCCACCGGCACAAAAATTAGGACTCTTTTAAATTTTAAAAAATTTAAAAAAATTAGGAATAGGAATCGTTACGCAAAGGTCAGTGCTCAGCCTCCTCATCAGAGGACAGCACCACGAGGTCGGACTCCGGCAAATCAGGCAACCCGCGCAAACGCCTCATCGCCACCACCGCAGCCTTCCTCTTTCGCCAAAGCTTCGGAGGAGGCCTGGAAACCTTAGATCCGCGCTTGGGGGTGGGGGAGGGCGCAACACTGACCTCAAAATCGGACTCCAGATCTACATCTTTAACCTGAAAATCAATTTTTTTTTTTGGCATGGGACTCGCCTTCACCCTCCTCTTTGTTCGTCTTCTCCCCCTCGTCGATATTTTTCAGGACTTCCCCCAAAGCTTTGAAAGTCGTCGAAGAACAGCAACTAGGGCCTTCCTCAGAGTTGTAAAGGCGGCGAGGAAAATCATTGCCCCTGTTGATGTCGTTAATGAGGGACTTGATGAACCGAGCCTCACTCTGTGAATCTGTGCCAATATAGGCGTCAACAAGTGGATCTAGGTCATGTAACGGAATTGTGAAGTCTGGATGCCTCTCGAAAGGGGAGGGAAAGGGGGAAGACATAATTGTGGGACTCTGAATTCTTCAGGAAAAGGGCGAACGAAACGAAGAAGACGAAGAACAGGAACCCTAGAACACGAAGAACAGGAAAACAAAGAAACTGATCTAGGGTTCTATAGAATTCTCTAGATCAGTTTAGAAAAGGTGGTTGGGAAGATGTAGAGTTGTGTCGGTTGGGGGGTAAATTGGAGGGAGTAATTAGGTTAGGTTAATTTAGGTGTGTTAAATTAAGTTAGGGTTTTGGATAATGAGGGGTAAAAGTAAGATGATTAAATTTTTTAAGTGGGGGTAATATAGTAAATTCAAGGGTTTTTATTTACCAAAAACAGAATGAAAAAGGAAAGTTGCACATAATAGTGAACGGACTAAAATGGCAAAAGTTGCACATAAAAATAAACGGAGGTAGTATAAAGTTACATATTTTCATTAAAAGATATTGTAATATTACAATTAACCAGCACTTCAACATCTTTAGTTTTGGCTTTTTCTAATTTAAAATCAGCAGTTGTCGCAATTCCTCATATGCTGTGAACTGTATGGCACCATGAGAGACCTGCTGAAGCAGTAAATGCAACAGATAAGCATACTAGAGTTACACCCTAAGCATCAAGTAGAATGATAACATCAATACTCAGTTAACTAGGAAAAAGAAGTTAAAAAAAAAAAAAAAAAAAAAAAAACCAGAAAACTAAGCCCTCGACAATTTCACCAGCACATAAACTGAATGGCACTGTGATACTAAAAATTTTAAGTTTCAGAAGCAACAAACCTGAATATTGACAAGGAAACCAGAATGACTAAATGACTTTAGTCCAACAGCTAATGTGAGCCAAGCAGAAGCTATAGATGGGCTAGTTGCGGTAGTCATACCAATAAGAGCAATGCCAGGGCCAATAAATCCTATTGACTGCATAACAAACAATTTCAGTTAGACAGTTTTAGAGAAGCCATTTAAAATAAAATGAAAAGTATAAGATGAAGCAAACAGATAAATACATACGAGTACTTGAAGCCTAACAGGTATTCAATTGACAACTAGTCGACTACAAAACAAGTATGAATTGCTTTGATAAACATGGCTATATTACAAAGTTAAAAAAAAGTGGTTTCAAAGGACTAAATCAACTAGAGAAGAAGAGAATATAGGCACTCACTTCTAAATATCTGTACAACAAGAGAAAGGAGGCCTATCACACAAAATGATTGAAATGCAGATATATATATATATATATATATATATATATATATATATATATATATATATATAAACACCAACCTGCATGATTTTTCTGGTGAAAGTGATACTGAAACCACGCTGGATCAACGTATCTGACCAAGAACCTCCAAAATATCCCACAAGCGCCATCATACTCCATGGAACAGCACTAAACCATGCTGCTTGTCTAAGATCAACATGATATACCTATAACCACATTCAAATAACCATTCAAAGAAAAATCACATCACATATGTGACTTCACACACAAAAACCCAAACTTTAATACTCACACTGTTAAAATACAACGGCATCCAGGAAAGAATAACAAAGAAGCCCTGCACAAGAAAAAAATAATACTTGCCTTAGCAAGAAAAGAAAAACATAATTTTGTTGTATTAGGCAAAGCGGTCAATGACATATATAATGCCAAGATAGAGGATCAGATCAAAATCATTACCCAACTATGCATAGCATTGGCAATCATAAGTGACCAAGTAGGAAGCTTAGACAGCAGCCGCTTGAAAGGTGGGATTACTCTAGCTTTGTGTGCCTTCCCAGCATTGGATGGAGCAGATTGTTGCCTCTTTGTTAGTATGTATTTTAGTTCATACACAAAGATTTGAGGGCTTCTCTCTGGATTACTAGAAGTAGCAGACAACCATACAATAACCCACAGAAATCCAAATAATTCGAATATCACAAATGGTCAAAACACACCGGCATTAGACATTAGGACTGGAGAAAGTATTAGTCCAATAGCACTACCAAGCTGAAACCCATCCATTGCTATTCTAACAGCTCTTGCTCGTTCTGCTTTAGGAAACCATCTGAAAAGAAAAGGGTTTAAACAGAGTAGCTCATTACACAATTGCATTACTGAGTGCACAAAACGACAAACAAGAAATATAAATCATAAAGTTAAAACCTGGATCAAAATGACCAGTCGACATTAAATTCCAAATAATAGACATGGTGTACATACTTAGATATCATGCTGTTCATCGAAGGAAGAGCTACACCTTCTGCAATGCCTAGCATAGCTCGCATGGCAAGCAGAGCCTAGAGAGACTTTTCAGCTACCCAGGGAGTAAGAAAAGTAGCAAAGGACCACAAAGCAACACCCATCCCTATTGACCATTCAGAAATTCCAATCATAGATCAGTAAAAAGTTCACAATACAAGTCCATTAGTAGTAAATTGTAATTGAGTACAAAATAAAAAGGGCTTACCACTACTAGAAATAGGCCAATTTACGACGGACCAGTTCCGACGGAATTCAAATCTGTCGGAAATTTACAACGGAATTCCTACGGAATACAAATCCGTTGGAATTTATGGGTTTTCCGACGGAATATTCCGTCGAAAACTTAATCTTTCGACGGAAATGAAATCCGTCGGAAATTTCCGAGGGAATTTTCCGTCGGAACATTTTGTTTCCGACGGAAATAAAATCCGTCGGAAATTTCTGATGGAAAATTCCGTCGAAAAAGTAATTAAATAATAAAAAAAAAAACACAACCCTAAAAAACCCTAACCTCCCTCATTTAGGCTGTGCGCCTCTTTGGCAGCCTTCTCCCTCATTTTACTTTCTCTTTCCTCCCTCATTTCTCTTTCTCTCTCCTCTCCTCCCTCATTTCTCACATAGGTTTTGTTCATAAAATCAGAAACATCAACAAGCCTCTTCTATTTCTCTTTCCCCCTTCTTCTATTGCAACATCAACAACATCAAAAAGCCTTCAAAAAAAATCCCCAACATCAACGACCGCAACAACCGCCGCTGCTCAACAACACCTTCAACCACCAGTCGTCCACCGTCAAGCACTATAGAAGGCCGAAAGTGTAGGTTTGTAGATCTAGGGTTTTTTGGTTAGTTTGTAGATCTAGGTTTTTTTTCACAAATTTATGATTATAATTATTTTTTTGATGAAATTGTAATATAATTATTTAAATTTTGTAATGTCAGTTTGTAACTTTTCGGATTTTTGGAGAATGTAATATATAAATTGTTTTTTTGATTTTGTGGTTTTTGTTTGGATTTCGTTTTTTTGGTTGTGGTTTCGATTTTGTAGCTTTGATTTTGTGGTTTTTGTTTGGATTTTATTTTTTTGGTTGTGTGGTTTTTGTTTTTGGGTGTGGGTGGGGCTGCGTGTGGGTGGGGGTTTTTCTGGGTGGGCGGGGGTGGGTGTGGGTGGGGCTGCGTGTGGGTGGGGCTGCATGGTTTTTTTGGGAAGGCTGGGGTGAGTGGGGTTGCGTGTGGGGGGGGGGGGGTTTTCTTGGCAGGCT